GGAAGAAGAGTTGTATATGGTACAACCAGAAGGTTTTGTCGATCCAAAAGGAGCTAACAAAGTATGCAAACTCCAGCGATCCATTTATGGACTGGTGCAAGCATCTCGGAGTTGGAATAAACGCTTTGATAGTGTGATCAAAGCATTTGGCTTTATACAGACTTTTGGAGAAGCCTATATTTACAAGAAAGTGAGTGGGAGCACTACATCATTTCTGATAAGTATATGTGAATGACATATTGTTGATCGGAAATAATGTAGAATTATTCTGTAAAGCATAAAAGGAGTGTTTGAAAGGAGTTTTTCAAAGAAAGACTTCGGTAAAGCTGCTTACATATTGAGCTTCAAGATCTATAGAGATAGATCAAGACGCTTGATAAGTTTTTCAATAAGTACATACCTTGACAAGATTTTGAAGTAGTTCAAAACGGAACAGTCAAAGAAAAGTTTCTTGCCTGTGTTACAAGGTGTGAAGTTGAGTAAAAACTCAAAGCCCGACCACGGCAGAAGATAGAAAGAGAATGAAAGTCATTCCCTATGCCTCATTCATAGGTTCTATAAAGTATGTCATGCTGTGTGCCAGATCTATTGTATACCCTGCACTGATTTGGCAAGGGAGTACAATAGTGATCTAGGAGTAGATCACTGGACAGCGGTCAGAATTATCCTTAGTGAAATAATGATATGTTTCTCGATTATGGACGTGACAAAAAGGTTCGTCGTAAAGGGTTACGTCGATGCAAGTTTTTGACACTGATCCAGATGAATATAAAGTCACAATCTGGATACATATTGAAAGTGGGAGCAATTAGCTAGAGTAGCTCAGTGCAGAGCATTATAGACAAAGAATTTTGCAAAATACTTACGGATCTGAATGTGACAGACCCGTTGACTAAAATTATCTCACAAGCAAAACATGATCACACCTTAGTACTCTTTGGGTGTTAATCACATAGATATGTGAACTAGATTACTGACTCTAGTAAACCCTTTGAGTGTTGGTCACATGACGATGTGAACTATGGGTGTTAATCACATGGTGATGTGAACTATTGCTGCTAAATCACATGGCGATGTGAACTAGATTATTGACTCTAGTGCAAGTGGGAGACTGAAGGAAATATGCCCTAGAGGCAATAATAAAGTTATTATTTATTTCCTTATATCATGATAAATGTTTATTATTCATGCTAGAATTGTATTAACCGGAAACATAATACATGTGTGAATACATAGACAAACAGAGTGTCACTAGTATGCCTCTACTTGACTAGCTCGTTAATCAAAGATGGTTATGTTTCCTAACCATGAACAAAGAGTTGTTATTTGATTAACGAGGTCACATCATTAGTAGAATGATCTGATTGACATGACCCATTCCATTAGCTTAGCACCCGATCGTTTAGTATGTTGCTATTGCTTTCTTCATGACTTATACATGTTCCTACAACTATGAGATTATGCAACTCCCGTTTACCGAAGGAACACTTTGGGTACTACCAAACGTCACAACGTAACTGGGTGATTATAAAGGAGTACTACAGGTGTCTCCAATGGTAGATGTTGGGTTGGTGTATTTCGAGATTAGGGTTTGTCACTCCGATTGTCGGAGAGGTATCTCTGGGCCCTCTCGGTAATGCACATCACATAAGCCTTGCAAGCACTGCAACTAATATGTTAGTTGTGAGATGATGTATTACGGAACGAGTAAAGAGACTTGCCGGTAACGAGATTGAACTAGGTATTGGATACCGACGATCGAATCTCGGGCAAGTAACATACCGATGACAAAGGGAACAACGTATGTTGTTATGCGGTCTGACCGATAAAGATCTTCGTAGAATATGTAGGAGCCAATATGGGCATCCAGGTCCCGCTATTGGTTATTGACCGGAGACATGTCTCGGTCATGTCTACATTGTTCTCGAATCGTAGGGTCCGCACGCTTAACGTTACGATGACAGTTATTATGAGTTTATGCATTTTGATGTACCGAAGGTTGTTCGGAGTCCCGGATGAGATCACGGACATGACGAGGAGTCTCGAAATGGTCGAGACGTAAAGATTGATATATTGGAAGCCTATGTTTGGACATAGGAAGTGTTCCGGGTGAAATCGGGATTTTACCGGAATACCGGGAGGGTTACCGGAACCCCCCGGGAGACTAATGGGCCTATTGGGCCTTAGTGGAAAAGAGAAAAGGGAAGCCCACAAGCTGGCCGGCGCCCCCCCTCTCCCCAAGTCCTATTAGGAATAGGATAGGGGGCCGGCCCCCTTCTCTCTCTTTTCCTCCCGGGAGTCCTAATTGGATTAGGATTGGGGGGAGGAGTCCTACTCCCGGTGGGAGTAGGACTCCCCTGCGCCTCCTCTCCCTTGGCCGGCCGGCTCCCCTCCTCCAACCTTTATATATTGGGGCAGGGGGCACCCCAAGACACACAAGTTGATCCTTGAGATCGTTCCTTAGCCGTGTGTGGTGCCCCCTGCCACCAAATTCCACCTCGGTCATATCGTTGTAGTGCTTAGGCGAAGCTCTGCGTCGGTAGTACATCAAGATCATCATCACGCCGTCGTGCTGACGGAACTCTTCCTTGACGCTTTGCTGGATCGGAGCCCGAGGATCGTCATCGAGCTGAACGTGTGCTAAGAACCCGGAGGTGCCCGAGTAACGGTGCTTGGATCGATCGGATCGGGAAGAAGACGTACGACTACTTCCTCTACGTTGTGTGATCGCTTCCGCAGTCGGTCTGCGTTGGTACGTAGACAACACTCTCCCCTCTCGTTGCTGTGCATCACCATGATCTTGCGTGTGCGTAGGAAATTTTTCGAAATTACTACGTTCCCCAACAGCACCCCTGGGCATATTTTTATAGGACATACCCAGATTTTTATATTATAAACAGATGGACACACTGTTTGAAGTAGTCTTGCAGTAGATAGTGTTAAGCTGTGCTATATGGGATGATATGAACCAAATAGCAAAAGCATTGTTGTTGCCTATGCTACTAAAACAATATGGATACAACATTAGCTAAAAGGATATTTTTATATTTATTCATCTTCAAATCATTGATTTTTCTTTAACTTTTTATTTGCTTCCTCATTGCGTTCTTGATTTTTAGGTAACATAATTGATATGTTTTAGCATTCAAGGTGTATGTTTTTACATGTCACAATGTTTGTGAATGGAGCAGCAACACATTTTTTACATTTTATGGGCATATGCCAAGATCTCTTATGCTCCAAAAAAGGATCTGATCTTGATATACATGTCCTTGGCACTTTCAGAAGTATGTAGACCACCTCCCGGTACATGTAGAAATACCAATTTCAGAAATATGTAAAGGGACCTTCTCTTGGTCCATGTAAATAGCACTTTCAGATATTGTTAATGTGCAAATTTTCATTAACACCTTCTCCGGCTCAATTAAAGCCATGCACAAAAGATTTGAGTACTGACAAAGTATTTTCATGCATCAAATTACCTTAGTGAAGAGAATACGTGTAAAATGTAGGGATTCTTTTCCTGGAACTTTAGTCACAATGATATCATTTTAATGAGGTTTTTAATTCACCATACTGCTAAGTTGGGATCTCAAGTTTTCTGATAGCTTCGTGATTGTACATCTATTTATATTCTTCTCTCAAAATTTAGCCATTTTTCTCCTGATGGTGTCTAAAGCTTTTCTTGTTGCTCTATGTTTCAAGCTTCCGATTCCACAGAATGAGAAGGGACAAGAAGGCTGCACTTAAGCTCTATGATGTTTTGAACATCTAACCAATGTTGACAAAAAGAGCATCTTTGGTATGCCTTTCTTGCACAGGTCCAAGGTTGGATAATCATAACATTAATGAAATTCCTAAGATTACATGTGTTACACGTGCAAGCTTACGTATATGATAAGAACACGTCCACTGAAATACTCCCTGTGTAACTTTTTACAAGACGTTTTAGAGTTCATGATAGTGTCAAAAAACCTTTTATACCCCTTTAAGTTACAAAGGGAGTATTTCTATGGACTTGTTCTTAGGCTGGTCACAATGGGCAAGAACATAAGCTAGTAACTTACACACTTCCCTAGACTATGTTACTACCTCCATAGTGGGTAGGAACATCTATGTAGTGTCATGCAACGATGTATTTATTAGGTTATAGACTTATTGTTTTTTGGAGTGTGTGATGTTCCGGTAACTTAGCTAGTTACCACAAGCACCTCCCTCTTCATTAAATATGTGCCACATAAGCAAAGTTGTATTGGAGTGTATGATGTTACTCCTAAGTTCCTCCCCATTGTGACCAGTCTTATGACCATGATCTAATTTAATTAATACACCTTTCATTCCTAAATATAAGCTTTTTAGAGATTCCAATACAAATTACATATGAAGAAAAACGTGTGATTTAAACTCTAAAATGTGTCTATATACTTTATATGTAGTCTGTATAATTTGTGGTTAGGTGATTAGCAGAATAGTGTTATCCTCAGTCATCAGGGTTTAAATTCTGGTGCTCGTATTTATCCTGAATTTATTTCAGGATTTTTGGTGATACGCTTTGAGTGGGAGGAAATGTTTCTCCATTACGAGGCGCATATAGTGACTTCGTAAAATCTAAGCTGACATGCCAGCTCAGTTTCTCGAAGGTGTTCATAGAGGTAAAGTGTGCGTGTATGTGCATTCACAAAAATGAGTGTATGCGTGTATACACGAGGGCTTGCGTCTGTACTGTATTAAAAAAACCCGGAGGGAGAGTACTTCTTACTCAATTCTTGTGATGAAAAGAAAGAAAATATGGAAGCATAAAGAAAACATCTCCACCCCGTCGGTCCTCCCACTGCAACATTCTGATCCCCTTTCCCTCCTCCCATTATCCGCTCCTCCCGTCGGCCCGCCGCCAGTGGCCGACCTCGCAACAACGCCGCATCAGCGGCGTGGGCGTACCTGATACGGCGACGAGCTGCGGGGGAGCCTCTTCGTGGGGCACCGCCGGGGACGACCGAGGCATGCGGAGATCGAAGGGATCAGGGCGGCGGCGAGCTGCAGACGAGCGGAAGCTCATCCGGATGGCGGACGAGGCGGCCGCAGCGAGCTCGATGCAAGCGGCAGCGGCGGCGGCGCTGGCCTCCCTCCACCTCCCTCCTCCAGGACTGACAGGTCGGTGCCCCAAAGTTTCTTTCTTTTTCCCCTTTGCTTCAACCAACTCGAAATGCGAGCCAGGCTCCTGCATCTTTCGCTGGAGTCCATCGCAAGATCTGAACCGAAGCTGCTAAAATCACGAGGAAATACACCTTTTTTTAGATCATGTGAACCATCCTAGATTTTTACTCTGGATTGAGCATGCGTTGAGAAGCAGCAAGAATTAATTCGTGAGTGTTGGGAAGCAGAAACTGACAACCAAGATCGGAAAAATTTCGGGAGAGGAGCACGGATAAAGCGCAAGGCGAAGCGGAAGTGGGGCTTCGTTGGCGGTGAAGCGGGCGCGGTGGACTCTGGCGGGCTGCGTCCCCGTCTTAGTCATCGCCGGTCGACCTGCAGGTATAAGCGGGCGCGGTGTAAGTTAGTCAACACCACCATTGTTGTATAAGTTGTCCAACAAATGGAAGTAGTATATCATGGGATATTTGTCCAATGTGTTATTCCTGTATTATGTATATGTGCTGTTGCATCCAATGTTGCAGTTCATAATAGAATACAGTTTGTTAAAAGCAGTAGGGTATGTTAGTCAGTTTTTTGGTGCATAATTTTGTTCCACTGATTTTTCATGTGACTCAATGTCATGTTGCAGTTAGTTATGGTACATGTGCTGCGGCCAAGTCATCTCTGTTCTTTGCTCTGCCTTTTGCTTTTCTTGCTTTATATAAGGTTGCTTTTGCTTGTTTCTTGATTATAGGGGAGGAGTTGGATCCATGGATGAAGTATTACATGGTGAAGTGGGCATCAGGAGCCGTTTCAGTGCTGGGAGGATTCGAGAGATCATGCGTGGTCTGACACCCCGGCAGCAGGGGTATGTTGCAAAGTATGGATTCGAGCATTTCAATCGTATCGGGGCATTCTCTGTTCATGAGCCACTGACTGAGTGGATCATGGGAAAAATTAACCCCCCGTTCTCTGAGTTCAGAATTAATGCGGACAAGACAATAGTTTTCAGCAAGCCCCTTGTTCAGAAAATTCTAGGTGTACCTACAGGGGGAAGACCCTTTGTACTGCATGGTCAGAAGTCGGACAAAATCAAAGAACTGCGAGATCTGTACTTAAATAATGGACTAAGGGCAACCATCCCCCATTGTGTCAGTTTGCTTAAGAACAACGAGGATGAGGAATCCTTCATGAGGACATTCCTGCTTATTGCACTGGCGGCAGTGCTCACCCCCACCACTGGGAATACAATAGACCTTGACTACCTGTGGGCCTTTGAAGATATGTCAAAGGTGCATGACCTTGACTGGGCAGGCCATATCACGGAGCATCTGATGGACGAGGTCCAGAAATTTCAGTACAAATCTAGGGAGGAAAAGATGAGAGACTTCTGGGTTGGTGGGTGCTTGCCTTTGCTCACGGTATGGCCTCTCTTGCTCTCTCCTCCCTCCTGTTGCATATACTGCACTGATGATATGTCTTTGATGTTGCTGCTGGCATTTCTTTTCTGATGTTGCCATTATTGTGGTGGCATTTCTTCGCAGTTATAACTTATAAGTATTTCATACTGCAGTCTGTTTGATTTTGTTGATTCCACAGTTATGGCAATGGTGTGCCTCAGTTAAACTTATAGTAAGCAGTTAATGTGGCTATCTGATTTTAGCGTTGGCAATTTTGTATTTCTTTGTTGATGTCACATTTATTTTACAGGGGATGCTGCAGCTATGTTCAGTTCACACTGCAGACTGTATGCGTACTTTCTTCTGTTTGTTACTGTGATGCTGTGGCTAGTGCATTTTCTTGTTTAAATATGTGTAGTTTATAGTAATATTCATGCCATCCTTTACAGTGCCACCTTTTGTTTCACCAACAATGTCTATAATTTTATATGTATGAATCTTGTTTCAATCTCTGTTTTTTGTAGATCGCTTACATGGACCACTTGGATCTCCCAAGAGGGCGAATTGTAGACCATGAAATTAACTACTCGGTGCCCAGGATCTGCCATGTTTCTAAGGATGATTTCCAGTTTGCCGCAATTGCTGACCTGCATCGTCAACATTTCAAGTTTGCCACATTTGGGATACTTCCAGTATGTTGTTTTCTCCACCTTTTTCACTCTGTAGTTTGTGTTTACAGCATACAACGTTTTAGCAGTGTTTGTTCTTTTATCCATTCTTATTCTTGTGGGTATTATGCAGTTCCGTGATAGAACACCATACGCTGATAATCCAGTAACCGATACAGAAGTAGCAGCAGATGATCTTCATATTCTCTCGAATGATCAAGTCTTATCAGGGCAATGGGAACTTGTAGAAGTACACGAGCAAAAAATAGACGAACTTGTAAAAGAAACTCAACCTGAAGCCCTTGGGTTTGCAGAAGCGAGCATCGATCATTTCCGTCTTGGAAGAACTGATATCGGCTCAAATCAAGGTAATGCTAAAGAAATGAGTACAGGTTATTTTCATATTTCAAGGAGCTCCATGATGATTCGGTACCACGCGATTATCAGGAACTAAAAAAACAGCTAGCTGCGAAAGGGGCAGTTCTAGCCATTGTAGGAATACTGCAAAGGCGGCTGTGACACCCTCTTCGTCTGAGAAATCAGGTTACATTGTCAACTTACATGCACATATGCGTTAAACCTTGAATACTTATAGTTTTTTTACCTGTGAAATTTTATACAGTAGAAGACAGTGCTCGAGAATATGAATCTTCAGAGTCAGATGATCACCCGACACCTCCAGAAGCTGATTATGGGGTAATATTCAGGAGTTATCTATCTGGAACACAAATGGAGAGAGTAAACATGCTTATCCACAAAATTAAACCTGAAACTACTGTATTCGTGGCTACCATGAGGAAGTGCGATGTTCAGCTACCTACTCCTCTTCTGGTAAATTTATATTCCTTTTCCTCCAGCCTAAGTTCACTTCTGTTTGTTTTGCACTGACATCTCATCTTGCCCACATGTAACCAGATCATTTCGAAGGAACGCTCATTAGCCGCAGCTGCACACTTTCCGCATGAAAACGGGGCCGTCACACTTCAGATGCCGGGCAAGAGCGAGAAGTGGAGGCCAAGATTCTTCATAGAAAAAGACAATTGCATGCTTGCGGGTAATTGGTTAGACTTTGTATGTGACAACCAAGTGCAGGTGGGCGACATATGCATCTTTGTACCGGCAAAGGGTGGGGAAAGGTCCACTTTCACGGTCCATATAATTCGTGCAGAAGTTACTCATCGTAGGGGTGTTAAAAGGGTTCGCTCCAGCCTTGATTCTCCGGTTGGCGTGGAAGGAATGGCAAATCCAGATGCCGTTTAGGAATGGCAACCGGATGGATGCTCGCAAATGGTTGGGAGGCAAGCTTGTCCACGGCAACGGTCTGTGTTCTGGGACATGTGCCTGTTCGAACTGAAGAAAAGTGAGAGGTAGCACTAGTTTGTAGTAGAGCAGAATGGTGGGACATGGGAGCTAGCACCCGCATGCTCTTTCTGTTGGTACTTTGTGTGTCTCTGTGATGTTTTGTACTATATGAAATCAAGCTATGGCTAACTCTCTGATCATATACTCCTATATAACCATCCTGGAAGATGCCGGTAATTTTAATTTCGAAGTTTCGTGGCAGCTTTGTGTGCATGGTTAATTGCCAGGTTGAGACTTCTTTGTGGCACAGTTAGCTGTGTTATGCTGGTACCTTATGGGATCTCGGTTCCTTTTATCATTTGGAAATGGATATGCGAGAGAGGTCATCTATTGGTAACTAGCAAGCAATCTGAACAAATGTAGGCAAAAATACTTTCGTTACTTGGACATCGTTCATACTATCTTTCTACAAAGATTGTTTAGTGGCGCGGGCTGCAGATTTGCTGGTATTGTTGGTAAAATTTCAACTTTGTAAAAACAAATCGATGCATGGGATACATGTATCAAGGTTTCCTTTGTTATCTTGCAATCTAATACTCCTATTTAACAGACTAGAGCTTGAAATTCCGTGGTTTCTCCGTTTTTATCTGAATGTGCAAGGATTGTACCAGCGATAACTTATAAGTATGGTTCTGAAGTTATCTTCCTCTGCAGGAGATCAAAATGTACGGTGCTAAAATGAATTTTCCTGTTGTTATATTACTGGGATATTTTCTGTGCTAAAATACTTCACTGTGATAGAGATAATAATTGTGACAATTTTTTGTGGCACGAAGTCTTTGCAATTCCCATTGTCATGGTCATGACATCTTTCATTTCAAATTTTATTCTAATACTAAAAACAGAGTGCTTCTTCAAGTGCATACTTGGAACATTTGGACTATGGTTTTTTGGCTTTGTACAGCATGTTCGAAATTTAAAGCATCTTAGTATTTATACAATATTAAAGTATGCATTAAATAAAGTCCATATATCATTTTTGACATTGTTCAAATATGCGGAAATTATACAACTGCATTTCTAATTTCCTTTGCTTCTTCAAGTCCATACTTGTAACATTTGGACTATGGTTTTTTGCTTTGTATGGCATGTTTGAAATTTAAAGCATCTTAGTACTCTTATACAAATATTAAAGTATGCATTAAATAAAGTCCATATATCATTTTTGATATTGTTCGAATATGCGGAAATTACACAACTACATTTCTAATTACCATAAAGTTTCATGTTCAGAAAGTATATATGTATAGTGAGCAATGTTTCATTGTTGTACAATAATATTAATATAAAGTAGTTCTAGCCCGAGCAAGCGGCACATGTTGTTGAATGGTGTTACTTAATCACCAACATTAAGGAAGGGAACATATATATGATAACATTAATTAATATTATCTATATAAACAAGGGAAACATAACTTTTCAAAAAATATTTCTTTTATCCTCTACTTCACTTGGACCAACATTTCCTATATATAACTAAAATGCTTAGATGTCAAATATATCCATGACAAATTAATGAGACCACTTAAGCTAAGAAGTGTTAAACTTCTCCCGACCTAGGCAGGCGGCAACCCTTCCATGACCCCCACTCCCTCCATATGCCCCTAGAGCACTAAGAGGAGGTGTAAACTCTACTGCTTCTGTTTGGTCTCTGAGTAGCGGTGGCGAGACGATGGCATCGCCTTCGGTGTGGAATAAGGTATCTTCACCTTGCTCTAGTTCCGATGGTGCCTATCCTCCGGAGGCATTCTGAGGATGGTGTGTCCCTAGATCCCTTTCTCCGTGTCCGAATTTTACTTTTGCATGTTTGTCTTGGTGTTGCTGCCCCACGGAGCGGACAACACGGATGTGTGTCTTAATCCCCCATCTTGAGTATTGACCAATGAAAGTTGACCAGCCTTGGCCTTGGCCGGGAGATTGTGAGATTTGTGTTCTTTGACTCCATCTAGCCGGATATGGGGCGTTCTACAGGCACATTCCAACATTTTCCTTCTTCTGGGCAGCGATTTGCTATGCAGATCACTGTCGTCGACATCTTCTGGTCTACATATTGGTCGCTAGTTCTACAAACTTCTGAGTTTCAACGGTTTCGCTCTATTGAGACAGAGACCCAGAGGGGCAACGAGCTTTACTCACCGTGCGCCGCTGATGGATGAAGGGGCAATAATACTGTGGCACCCCAATGACTTGGATGTATTTTTGACTTTTTGCAAGGGTGTTTTTGTAAGAGTACATGCTACTCAATAATAAGGATGTTATCCCTTTCCCCATGCTCTCCTCCTATAAAAACACCACCTAGACTAAGCATCCACTCGCTACTGATCATCCAACACGAGGAAGCATCCAGGACTACATACGAGATGGGCAAGACACTGTTGCTCCTGCCCGTCCTCCTCGTCGCTTCCCGTAAGTGTTTGAATTCGCACGAATCAATCGGATGCATATGAATTTTGCTCAAATTTGACTGTAGTGGGCATGTCGACGACGGTGGTGCGGAGCGAGCTGGCGTGCGGCAGCCTGAGGGAGCAGTGCATGGCCATGTGCATCCTAGCAAGCTGGTGCATGCACTGTTGCCAGGCCCGCGGATACGCCCACGGCCGCTGCAGGGTCCTCCACGGCGAGACCACCTGCTACTGCTGCAAGAACGTGCCCCCCTCCACCTCCCCGGCTCCCGGCCCGCAGAAGAGCTCCGCCGCCGGCGACCTCACTTTCTTGACCGACTGAGGAATATGCGGCGACATCCTCACTCTCTTTATGCATCAAGCGTGAGTTGGGCCAACTCCTGAATAAATGGACAAGATCTGTCTAGTAGTTTTACGCAATCTTTCCAAAAAGGATATGCATGTTTGCTAATTGCTATGCCAACTCGATCTTTTAGCTGCGTGTACCGTACCATCGGATGCAAAGGCCGGGCGATATTCACCCGCCATCTAAGAAAACTTATGCCAACTTCCCAATTCTCCGGCTCCAAAACCACCATGGTTTTATCTAACCGTGTTCCCTATACTTACACACTTATCGCAAAGTTGTAAGCTAATACTATCAAAAGTCCCTGTTTAATTGATCATGTGCGCAATGCGCATCCTTTTAATGGAAAAGTATTCCTGTTTTTCATCCAAGAGTTCTTGTTTGATGTCGTGCGTCCTTTTCATGCAGATGACATCTACAAATTGTGTGGCATCAACATTTTTCTAAATATCGCATATAATTTATGTTGAGTTGGAAGTGATCAAAGAAATAAATGGTAGTATTCTTTAATACAATTTTCATCGTACTAGACTTTGTTCCTCCACCATTTGGTGCTTATTTAATAATATTAGTCGCCACCCACGTGAACATTAATTGTTAGCAAATACAATAAAAAATAACTATATCGCCATATCTCTATATCTCTATATCAATATCGCTATCTCTATTTATATCTACATCTATCTCTATCTTTATCTATTTGCATCTATATCCAATTATCCATTATCTATTATCGCTTACTTATGTTATATTGTTATATTATTTTGTTTCATACTTATAATTTTATTTTACTTCAATTATTTTTTATTTATTTTTGGGTAAAGACATGGATATTTTGTTATATTTCCAAAGCTTCGGTAGCTGTGAGCTATGAAAGGGGCGGTTCTAGCCATTGTAGAAGCTAGATGATACCCCACACATTGTTGCGTGGACATTTTGCAACATATTTCGATGAGATTCGATGTATGAAACATGAATATTTGGAGTAATACTATAAGAGCTAAAAATGAAAATACGTCTGATTTATTGTGTTTGATTATTGTATAGTATTAAAATATAAATAGCATAATAGGCTGCAAATTCTCATGCATGTTTGCATGTTGAGGTGGGCTTTATGTATCCATGGTTGCATGTTGAGGTGGTTCTTTTCCCATGCATGTTGTATGGTGAGACATCATGCTTTCATGTTAAGAGAAATATGTTAGTGGGGTGGGCATTTTCCCTTGAATCTTGTGTCATGAGGTGACATGCTTGCATATTATGAGAAATATGTCAGTGCGAACTAGCTATTTAGATATAGAAGATACTGCAAGATCAATTGTGACACCCTCTTCATATGAGGTATCAAGTTATATTGTCAACGTCGGGTGTGACACTCTTCATAGAAATCAGGTTATACTGTAAACTTACCATGCACATATGGGAAGAAGACAAGTGTTCGGGGAAATGAATCTTTTGAGTCAGGTGAGCTGATTATGGGGTAATATTTGTGTATCAGGAATACAAGTGTAGAGAATAAACATACTTATAAAGGAAATTAGACCTGAAACTATTGTATTCGTCCCTACCATGAGGAAGTGTGATGCTTAACTACCTAATCCTATTCTGATAAATTTCTATTATTTTCTATTCAACAGGATGCTCACTGATCGGTATCAACTATTTTTGTGGTATATGATGTATGTTGAGAGGGAGCTTGCTGCCATGGTTGTGCATATCATTTCTTTCCAGAGATCAGCTCTGGTTTCTGGTCCAGTAGAACGATGGGTGCTCTTTATTGTCTTTGGTAATTTGATTTGAAATACTATGATCTATGACTTCTTCACACATCGTGATGCTTGATCTGAGCGAAGCGACACCTGTCACAGCTTGATTGCATACCATATACTGTATTCAGCATAGATTTAAAGATCCATTCGACACGTCAGACTTTCAATCTGCGTTACAATGTTTATCTGAAGCCTGGCAAAACACTCTGGATTAACCATACATACATATGTCACACGCAAGCAATGTTTCAGCCTATATCACCCCAAGCAATGCTCTATACTTCTACTCTACACATGATATGAAAAAAGAAGTTGTGAAATGGTAGCACACCGTATTACAGTTGAATGTACGTGCTGCCACCATAATAACATCAGGACTGC